TATATTTTGTTCTGAATTAAGATTTATTTTAATGTGAACTGCAAAAGCAGGAAAAATATTTAAATACTCTTTACCATACATAAAGAATGAAAATTCAGTTCACAAGAACTGAGAGATAACTAACACTCAAAAAACGTTTTGCATCTTGCATCTATTTTGTAGGTTTGGTGTATGTAAGAATAGTATTTGCATGTTAGTTTTACAGTGGGGACAGAATGCATACTCTTTTTAAAGTGTGTGTTGAATTCTTATTTACAAAACTTACTCATTTTGTTTGAATACTTTATGAAACACATACAGCATTGCCAGTCATGTGGTATACAGTATGAAATGTATGTAATGTCTTAAATAAAAGCTCAGTTTAGATATGACTTACTGTTACTGAATTGAGGAGTCAAGCAGAGGTTTACTTCCTTTGTTTAGGAATTGATTTCCAATGGTTTCCATTTGGGTCCTGTCACTTGGGTCCCAGGTTCTTGTCCCTAAAAGCTTCTGTTGGAGTCAGTTGCTCAGAGTGCTGTAGTGCTGTAAGACTTGTGAAAACAGGATGCCGTCTTTTGACAGCTTTATGATCCAGTTTAGAACAAATGACTTTTAAACATGGGTAAGCAGGGGACAAAACAGCAAGAGAAAAGTGAGGGTAAAAATAGTCCCTCTGTGTATGCATGAACTTATGTCAAGTTTCTGGAATGCAACTGCAACTTGAGACACTGTGGGATGTAGTGGAAGGAGGGCTGAGCAAATGTTCGAAAGCTGTAAAGGTGTGGTCTGGCTGGTACTGAAGGCGTTTTATCAGCTGCTATAATAACTGGGGAAGTTAAAAAGTTCTCCTTTGAAGTGGAGGAGTTGGCTTCACAGTGTCTACTTGAGTTGGCTTCCTTGTGTCTACCTGATGTGCTGGTTGGCCGGGACAGCATCCTCCTGCATTGTTTGGTTTTTGTTTTTTTTGTTCCTGTGTTTTGCTCCCTCTTAGCTGAAAAAAGAAAGGGATGATTGCAGGATGGTTTGGGGATTTTAGTGTGATTTCCAAGGAGGCAGGTCTGTGAGTGTTGGTGGATTTAAGCTGGCCCAATGAAATTATTTTTTTTTTTCCTTAGTAAATAACTTCTGGTAGCTTAGCTTCTGAGCTGGTTTAACACAGGATCAATCAAGTGCCAGTGCTGGAACAAATAAGAGGCTGAAGACAGAATTGTGGCAGGACTGACCTAGTTCAACTTAAGCAGTGGTGAAACTGTAACATAAAGGAAAGGAGTTATTTTACCTGAAGCCACTTCCAAAATATGTTTTGCAAGTTCACGGTAGAATTATTACAGACAGAAATAGTAGGAGAGAATGGAATGAATCTGGAAAGTCTAAAGTGAAGGTTGCTCAGAAGACGTTAATGCTGCTTATGTTAATAATACATGGCATTCCTTACTCAGGTGTCAACAAAGTTCTTCTACATCTTACAAATAAGGTATCAATGCAGCGTACAAAATTTCAGGAATTATATTTGAAGTCACATGGACAAGATTGCTTGTTAAAGCTCTGGTTTTATTTAATTGCAAGTTACAGTGTTATTCTTTCCTTTTGCTAATTAGCTTATCTTTTTGTCAAAAAGAAATTTCAAAGGTAGGAAACTGCATAGAAAACAAAAACTGGAATGTACTTCTGAATCCGAGAAAAGAATAAGGAAAAAAGATGATGACTTTTTGTCTCCCCATAGACTTCTGTTTTAGTACTTGCATGTTAGACCTTCAGTGAGATGGGGCTTGAATATCTGTGGCTAATGAATTGGCACTCTCCTGTCCTTAAAGCTCACTGTAGTATAATAGTGAAAATATTTACAGGGAAGACTGTATTATAGTACAAGAAATATGAACTACTAAGGATTAAATAGGAACTACAGGCTTGTTGGAGAAAGTATTTTGCAATATTGAAAATACGTAATAAAGCTTATGTCAAGGTTATCTGTTAGTTATCTAGTCAGTCTTCCTCTCCATAGTTATTTTTTAGCTTCTTCAGAAAAAACGTGTTTCTTAGCTAGATTACATCCAAGTTTCATTACCCTGTGTTAGAAACTTCTGTCTGTTCCAAGTGGTGGATTTCCGAGGCTTGATGTTCCCAGGAGAGACCTGGAAAACGCTCCTTTTTGTTGCCCATTAAATCCCTACTTTGGTAGTCTTGGAAGCATTTTGAAATGTACATTTATGTAGACAGACAATTCCTTCACTGATGCTGTGGGAAGGAAGCGCTTTTAGAATTATAAGGAACTGATTACAGAATAGCTTTATCTGCTGGTTGTCCAGTGACTGTGTAACCCATTGAGAAGTTTGTCACAGGTGCCTCTTTCTGTCTGTATGAGAAGTTTCAACTTGTTTCTTCCTTGATACAGCTTGGCGTTCTGGCTCTTCTTCAGTTAAAGCAGCAGTTGTTTTAACTCTGAGCATCTTCCCAGTCATTGTCTGGCATTTTGGTCAATATTTATGGAATTATATAGCACTTCATAAAGGCAATAGAGCTCCAAGTAGAACAGAATATTGGCATTTCAGGACTGTGGAAGTACCATACAGTGGCAGGATTTGATTTCCGTAATTCAGCATAAAACAGAGTCTCATAGGTGTATATTATAAACTTGGGCTCAGTAAGATTTTTTTTTCAGCCTGATACGTAAATAATAAAATCTGAGCCTTGGCTTTCTGGATCATTGTGGCTTAGATTAATTCTTGCCTTTGGAATTGAGTATGGCAAATAGCTTGTTCAGTGGCAAGTCATGTCCGTAAGGACATATTCTGGGATCCTTACTATGTACATGTTTCTAGCTTAGTTAAGAACAGCTACAATAGTATATTGATTTTGGACAGTGCTTTAATACAGCAGCCTTTGAACCATAAGTATAGAATATGGCTCATCTTGCAAAATGGTATTGGCATTCCTACTTTTAGGTTTAGGGCCTGGTATCTAGAAATCGTTCCCTGTTTGGAACTGCTGTAATTTGTGCATGTGACAGTGAAAGCATGTTTCCTTACAGTGGGTCGAATTTAGGGTTTCCTTGATTTTCCAGAATCTTTATTAATATAGTAATAATAGCACACTTTGTAAGTCAATAGTGCTTTCTTGGGAATCTCAAGAGAAGACATGATTTATAACTTTCAGCTATAGGATATGTTAAATTTGGGATAATTAACCCATAGGCTGATTCACAAGCAGTGTGCTGGCATAGGCTTCTTGGGGAGCAGAGGTTTTTATTTTCTGTGTAAGGGAGCCTTGTACTTAGCAGAAGCTGGGATTCAAAATGACTTTATGTGTGAGTTTTGTTACCGTGGCTCCCTTAACTTGTGATCATAACCAGTGAAAATGTCTTTTGGCTGAATGTAAAATATACAGGGGGGACCAGTAAAAGATTTTAAAACACACTGCATAGTATTTCTTTCCTTGTATGTCTTATAAGTATTTACTTTTGATCTCCTCTTCTAAGGATAATGGTGAAAGGGAAACCGAATACCTTTAAGTTAATAAGTGAGGTACTATATTGCAGCATAGGTCAGGCCAGATTTATGATTTATTCAGGTTTTTGTGTGCAGATGAGACAAAAGTGAATGACCAAAATGGAAAAAGTGAATGACTTTTCATAACTTCTGTGAATGTCATTTGCAAAAGTGAATGACGAAAGTGAAAACCATCCATTTGTGCATTAATTAACAGAAAGTTGTCAGTCGTCACTGAGCCCTTTGTCAGGCACTGCTCCCCACCAGGGATGGATAGGCTGTATATACAAACTGCAGGTGATCTGGCTAGAACTGTCCTTGCTTAACTTTCAGTAAAAAGTGTTATTATCTCTAATGTGTAAGAGCAAAGGAGAAGCTCTTAGTCTTTAGCCTTGTGAAGATGCTAGCCAATTTCAGTCTACTCTTGAAGGTGATACTTTAATGGTCCTCAAAGAAGAAAGGCTTATGTTGTAGAAAGTAGCAGACTTCTGGAAAATATGGCATAGCAAATATAGTGACGATGTGAATAAATTTAGAGAACAATTTTCATATTCAAACAATGCTGAACCCATTTCTGAATCTTTGTGTTCAGAAATTACTGTTGAGATCTAGTGAATCTTTCCAGTAAAGTTTACTCTTATATGATGTGGTTTTTAAGACTCTTTATTGCTAGTTAGCTTCTTTTTTGACATGGGCAAATAACTCTTTGATGTTGGTGAATGTCATTTCCAAAAATAGATTGGGAAGAGAAAAGTATTCAGTGGCTCTTGAGACAGGCTCATGTTAAGTCAGTGGGAAATCATTCTGTCTGCTCTAATGGGGTTTGGCTCAACCTCATGTCATTGTGCATTAGCCAAGCCTCAACTACTACTGTACAGGAATTCTCCAAAGAGGAAATGTTTTCTTCCTTTTTAAGTGAAACAACTTGCACAGCTTTTGTGGGTGTTTCTATCAGCTTTGATAAGTAAATCTTAGTTGCTATACATTTTAAATAAATACTGTTCCTGCAAACTCTTATGCTTTTGGAAGTTGTTTTTGTTACTGTCAAGAGACATTAAAGAAGTCATCTGAATGAGGACTTGAAGAATTGGGCCAGCCTCTGACTGTTTCACAGAAAGGAGAGAAACATTTAGTTTGATATTTTCAATAAGGCTGTTTAGAAATGGGAGGTATGTCTCAATAAAGAAAAACTCAGTGTTCTTCTAGTTGTTCAATTGAAGATGCTCTAACATGTATGGGAGAAAACTGGGATGTTAGGTATGTGAACTTTGAGAAGGAAAAAAATTGGCACCTTTATAATTCGCTGGACTCGGAAATAAAATTGGTTTGAACCTAGTAGTTGAAAATTTCAGAATACCGTTTCCATAGCACCTTTAATGAAAAAGTATATACGCTCTGAAAAATGGAAAAAGTAATGGTTTTCTTAGTATATGTTAACTCTGCTGAGCTGTGCTTGGCTAATGTTTTTCTCATCTGTTTTATGGGTTTTGTAAGTGCTTGGCTAACATTTTTCTCATCTGTTTTATAGGTTTTGTAAAAGACACCGGATTAAGTCAAATTCAAATGTTCCATGTGTCCCGAAAGACTTGTTGATGATGTCAGAATTAGTTCTTCCACAGTTCATCTTTAGTCTTATTCAGCACTTAAGAGAGGGGTATAATGAGCCTGGTATGTTTCAGATTTGCATGTATCTAATGTATCTTACCATGCTGCTATCTCTTGCTTTGCAATCATGTAGACACAGTACATGAATACATGAATGCTATCTATAGTTTATTGAGTTTTGTGCCTCTCTTTCTAACAAAGTCACTGCCTGGCTAGGCGATTTGGTATTTTGTTCTCTGCCGAAGAGCTTCTTAAATGTTTTAAGGGTTGCCTAGCATTGTGTTGAGCTCTTCCAGAAAATGAAGTCAGGATTAATTTGAAACTTGTACACGTGAATTTTAGAGCATAATGAATATATAAATTAATTTCTTTTGTGGAGGTCATAGCTGTTCTGCCTTGTGAAGTTCTTGGCCAAATTACATTACATTTACACCAAAAGTTCTTCTTATGTGGTTTTCAGCTCTTGATCTGCCATCAGAGAAAGACCTTCATAAAATCCTCCAGGTTTTGGAGCCTCATGTTTCCTTTCTAGAAGACTTGACCAAAATGGGAGGAGCAATGCGATCAGTTCTTACCCAGGTTTTGACTAGCCAACAGTTCTACAAAGATCTTAGCTCTGGTATGTTTGTGTTATTTCTAATAATTAAATTTTAAAATTATGAGGAATTGAAGGTCATAAGTTTTACTTACCACTTTGGTTTCTGTGTGGTTTTATTTGACTTCTCAAAACCCAGAAAAATGCACGTTTTTAAGAATTTTTTGTTGTTGTTGATAGAAGGACTTCAGGAGTGACTAGAAACATTTGTTATCGATATCTGTAAGAGCAAACCTCTTGTCTTTGTCCCAGATAACTGTATATCCATACATTGTTTCAAAAGAATTTTTATAATAAATCCATTCTCTTTAAAGTGAAGGGAACACGGTACCTTAGTACTTCCAAATAAGGCATATCAAGCTTATTCAGAGTGGAGTATGTCTAACTTATTTTGGGATCTGCTTTCACAGAGGTTACTGGAGGAGACCTGGATGGCAAAAGTCCATTGTCTGTCCTGCACTTCTGTGCAAAGCCTTTTTAAAAACACTCCCCGCCCCCCTGGCCTTAATATATTCCATTCTGTATCAAATCACAATGAATCTGAAAATGTTGGTCAGTCACTATTAGCCCCAAACCACCTAGTATCTATTAACTCCATCTTATTTTCTTGTGATTAGAAGGTGTCTTTTTTTTTGAGTCCTTTGCATACTTGCTTTGCATGGGTATGGAAAAAATAGTAATTACTTTAGATTTAAGTTGCCATCACTGGCTTGGGCAGCAGCTAGTTGAAGAACAGGCAATCTTCAAATCTTTATTTGCAAGGAGAAACGCTTAGGAAAGTTGCCTCGGGGACAGTTGTCTTTATTATGTTTCCTTCCTCTTTTTCTCGCCTGTTTAATAATATTTGAATGGAAGAAATTTAATGACTTCTCTTTTCGTATATGTGATGGATTTCCTGAGATAGAAGAGTGGAGAGGGAGTGGAAAGTAAGGCATTCTTATCTAGACTCTTGGAATAGAGAATACGTGTGTCTGAGTAGGTACAGTTTCTGGGCAGGGAAAGCAAAGAAAGGGATTTTAGAGCAAAACCTGCCTTTCTGACTTTGAATGCGAAAGGTGCACAGCTAAAAAGATGCTGTCATCTGTTTCATGTTTTCTTTTCCTTAAACACTTGACACAATTTGCTCCTCTAAATTTTATTTTTTTCATTGCATAACAAATATGGACTAAAAAAAAAACCCAATGTTTTTTTGGTGAAAATTTTGTATCCTGAGCATTCAGTGTGACTTTGCAAGCAGATGAAATTATGATACCTTTGTGAATAGTCTCCTTTAATTGTAGCTGTCAAAACTTGAACTTTGAAAGAGAAACTCCAAATATTAGAATTTCTATATGGCATATTGCCATTACTGCTTTTTTGTTTGTTTATTTTTTTCCCATTGGAAATTGTAGGTATCTGTCCTTTCTGTTCAAAACCAACTGTTTTGAAATATCAGAGCAAATACTTTTTTTTTTTTTTTTGCTGTAGTGTTAATGGTGGGAGTGCTGGTAAAATAGAAATGAAGTACATCGTTGTGTTGGAGAGGAAAAAATGAGAAGGTTTCTGGTCTTTTCGATTTCAGTTCATCAGTTGGAAAAACTTTTTAGCTTCTATATCTCATAATTGTACAGCTTATTAAAACATTGTGGACAATTTTTTTAGATTGCTTATGTAGAATATAAAGTATATGAACCAGGTAGCTGTGGTACTTTAATGCTTTTTTACGTATGTGTTCAAGGTGTTGGAGAGAATGCATGTGCAAAGAAAAGTCATGAAAAGTACCTCATTGCTTTGAAAGGCTCTGGACTGGCGTTTCCTGAGGATAAACTTGCATGTGGTATGCAGGAACAAGGAGCTGGAACTAGCACATTAGCAGTTCAAGGTTTGTGTAGAAAAATACTTTAAGAGAAGACTTGATTATTGCTGGGTTTTATAGAAACTATTCTTTTATTTAAAAAAACCCAAACAAACAAAACCAAATCTTAATGAAACTTAAGGAATTGCCTGTTTATTTAGTGCACCATCAAATTACAGAACTCATTTTAGTTCTATCAACAAAGCTAAACATATTAACTTTTTGTTGCTAACATACTAAGCACTGTTTTCCACTGATAGCATTAGTGGAATTTGAGTAGGCAAGATGAAATTGCTCGTAGTGGAATTTTGTCACTGCAACTAAGTTAAGCCACGTATTCTTACCAAAAGTGCTGTGGATTTTTTTTTGATCACTGAAGGCTGTCAGTTTTTTTGCAATTTCTGAAAGAACGCATCTCCGTTAACTCAGTACGTTGAAGTTCTGCAATGGAACATACTTGCAAATCCCTAGTATTGTATTGCTTGGAAATCTTACTCCAACTTCTCAGTCCACTGCTGTGTATCTTTTAAAGAAAGTTAATGTAGTGTTCTGTTTCATAGCAGCTCATTAAATATCGTAAAATACTCTCTTTTCAGTGTAAGACTTATGAAAGGAATCTCTGAATTTTTTTATTTCAAAAGGTTTAGCAGGTGCTACGGCAACAGCAGGACAAGGGGATTCTTCAGATGAGGTGAGACTGTTTTTAAAGACTATAATGAACTGCAACAGAATATGAAATGGAGAGAATACTTGCAGGCAAATCTCACAAACCTTAACTCTTCTAACTATCGCATACTATCTCCATTTTAATAATTTGAAATAATGGAGATATAAAGGAATGGATCTCATGCCTTTGATTTACTATGAACCTCTTGAAAAATCCTTATTTTTGCTAATACTATTTCAGTTTAATGTATGTATGTATTGTAGAAGAAACTTGCGTGGGTAGTTCAAAAATCACTATCAAGTAAATTTGGCTTGATTAAAGCAAACTTAAAGCATGTGATGCTGTGAATGGTATTAGCAGATTTTAGCACTTGAGAAGCCAGCTGAACTGGTGGTAGCAGCAGTGAGAATTTCTCTGTAGATAAATTCCCATTGTAGATTTGATCAAACACATTGAGTGGGAGTAAAAAAGAGGGAATCTCCTTTTAGGTTGAGCTGTAATAAATAAGTGGAATTTAATGAGGAAAGTTAAATCCTTTTAGTTTATAAATTATTGTCATTTTTTTGCCCTACTATTTAAAACCTAATTTCAAGTAGTAAGCCTTAGGATCTGCTCTGGTATGGTAGTCTAACAAACTTGAAATAACGTAAAGTATAATTTTTTGGTAGGGTTTTTGCTTACATTGAATGCTGTGTCAACAGGTATTGAAGTGAAACCAATTGTTTGTGTATGTCCAAAACAGTTGTATGACATGTTTGCCTCTATCACGAGCACAACAGCATCTGTTATGCTTTCAGCAGTGCTATTTATAATTTGGCACTTTTCAAAGTATTGCTGCTTGTTTTTTCACCATCGCTTGACAAACAGACAAAAAAAACCCCAAACCACAAAAGACTGCTGACAGTATTGCTTTTAAGGCCCATGAAAGAAGTAGGCAATTTAAATTAATAACCTCAAGCTGTATTTTCAAATAAACTTAAGATGGCTTTCGGCTTGGTTCTTTCTGTTTTACCCATATAAGCGATGAGGAGAGGGGAGTAAACTGAAGTTCTTAAGTCTGAAGAGAGATTAGATATCCCTGACATTTCTTTTGGGAAAGAAGTCCAAGATGGAGGTAAAGACAGAGATGTACTTTAGGGAGAAGGAGTTTCTGTCGGGAAAAGATATTTTTTTCAAGGGAAAGATAGTTATGAATGAATAAGGGGGAAGTTACAGCAACTTCATTATAGGTTGCCAGTTAAAGATAGTTGTTTTCTAGAGAGATTTTTCTTTCTGATCTCTGGAATATAAATATACCTGTAGGTTTTTTTATTATGTTACTGCAGATGTGATTTTTGAAATTCTGCGTATACTCACATACCTGGAATGAATTTTTACGATACATTTTAAAAAAGCACAAGACTGTTTTGAAAGCTGTATTTAGAAAATTTTAAAAAAGAATGAGGAAGTAACTTGAATAAGCACTCACAATTTAATGTTCTTTAGTATATATTTTCACTTCTGGATTTTCCTTTCATATCTTGAATAAAATCACATTGATACAGTATGGGATGCAAATAAAAATAATATCAAAAGTTTCTGGATTTTAACATGAAAAGCCCTTCTGTTAGTGGCATTTCTGAAAAGAGTTTTTATTTTATTTTTTATTTTATAATCTTTTACTTAGTCGTGACCTGCTTGACAAATATGAATTGCTGAAAAGAAAGTCCAGTCCTTTCCTCCAAAAGCCAAAAGAGAACTGTACAGGTGGAAGACTGAAATGCTTATTAGGAAAATGATGTTACTAGAGGAATGAGGAAGAAGTTATCTTATTTTATGGCTTTTCTTGCTCTCCCCTGCCCTCCCCCGTAAATTACAAAGGGCATTTACAGGTTTTTTTTAATGCCTTATTATATTTATTTAATGCCTTATTCAGCAGAGTGAAACTGTTTTAATTAAAAAGTGTGGCGAGAGTTCACTTTTAACTGGATTTTCTTCCTCTTGTGTTTAAGATGAATCTCGAAAGGTTAATGTTCTTTCTTACCAAGTGAGTCTTAAAGGTAGCATTGTTTCACAGATGAAAGGCTAGATTACAAAACTTACATAGGCAATAAATTAGAGCAGTACTTCTGCAGGGAACTAAATAGCTTGAGGAGTTTTGTATAGTTCAGTATTTAGTTTCATTTCTACAATAGTGATGTTTCTAAGCTAAAAATCGATCTGAAGGGTGGATGTATCCTGAGATACGTGTTGTGGGTTGTTTTGTTTTTGTTTCCCTCCCAGCCCCAAAACAGAGTAGGCTCACTTGTGCTTTACTTCTCAAATGGTTTGTGTTCCATCCTGTGGTATTTAAGAGAGAACTCACCATTAGTTTGCTTTATTAGCTTTTCTTCCTCATGTTTTCCTCTGTGCAAAAGGAGAAAAAAAGGCTCTCTCTAAACCTGTCCTCCTATTGAAGAAGTTTTTATGTTCCAAGAAATCAAATAAAACCCAGTCCATGAATGCTTTTACCATGCTGACGAATAAACCTTTTTGTATTGGATGTCTCAGTTTGGCTGCCCTTGTTCAATGAGCACTCAATGCCTTGTTGTTTAGTTACATAGTTATTGACTCAAATTGCTGTTTAATGTGATCATACAAAAATCTATGTGTAGTATCTAATATTATATAAAGTTTGTTATCTGAATTTACATAATAGAATATTTAGTAACATGCCTAAGGTGTGCCACATCTATTGTAAAGTAAATCTACATAGATCTTTGCTGTTATCCAGCTGTATTTACACAGCATTATCCAATGAGTAAAAATAAGGTGTTCTGCATTGCTTACTCATTCTCTTACTCTTTATCGTTGGGCTTGGCAGACACCATGTGACCTAGCACTCACTATTTCAAGGCTGTTGAAACTCCTGCGCTTGACATTAAGATTTGATCCTACCTTACTGCGGCAGTGGAAACCAACTGTAACATTAATGAGGGGAAAAAAAAAAAAAGAGTTCTCAAGAAAGTGTTTCTTATGAAGTCACTCATAAATTTTCTTCTTTTTAGTGAAATCACTTCAAAAGTTGCAATGAAGACTGTTATATTTAAATTTTTCTCAGACTGTATAAGGGGAAATGGATTTTGTTTGCCAGAGCAGTGGTGTTGGAGGCTAGAATCCAACATGTATACCCAAATGCATGATTTTCTGGTTAAGGCCCTTTTAGCAACTCTCTGCATTAACTGAGACTGCTGAAGAGGTCTTGAGACCTCTAGCTCTCAACTTTCTAGCTACAGGAATTTCAATTCCTTTTCTTCAGGGCAGGAGACTTCAATTGCAGAGTCCTGCAGTTCCTAGTAATACCTCAACAGGTCTGATTTTTGTTCTAGAGTACTTGGCCTCTCTGGGGGAGTGGGCAGTGGCAACATCTGGCAATGACTGGCTCCCGACTGAAGTACAAAAGTAGCGTGTGTTCACAGAGACCAGAGGACACCTAAAAGTTCAAATGTGTGTCCATTCTTAAAATGAATTTTCAGATGGAGGTACTGAAAGGATAGGAAAATTCTGGGTTTTCATTAACGTGATACTTTTGGTCAGTCCTTAGATACAAAATATGAATGATCTTTCTCCCCAGGAAAGCATAGTCACTTCTTGAGTACCAGGTTCCTTATGATTCCAGTGAAGTTTGGGAGTAAAATATAGCATTTGCTCAGAGAAGGATATTGATTAATTATTTTTAACAGTAGATAGTGGCAATAATTATCTCTGATTTTATTACATCCAGTAGGAATCTTTCTTTATTTCCACTATTTCATTAGGACTACCATTGTTATTAAAGATCCATGCAGCATTTAATATAGTCCTGTAATGTTACATTCTTTTTTTGACACCCAGTGTTAGATTTTGTAAAGTGGTGGTGATGATGTTTTTTAACTTGCATTGCATTTTTGAACCTTTGCTGTTTTGTTTCCAGAGTGCCTTGAAAGCTTCAGATGACAAGTGCCTGCATAAAGGGTTTCTGTTATTCTGTAGGGAATGAGCAATTAGAACAGGCCTCTTTAAGGTGTCAAAAATACTTTATTCTTGGATCAAAACTTTATATTGATTACAAAATGACTAACTAATTGACTGTGTTGCCAACTTTGATAGCCCGTATGTTGGCTGTTTGTTTTTTTCTGTTTTGTTGTTTTTTTTTTTTTTTAAGCGGGCAAACCCAAACCCTACAGATGAATAAGGTGAAACCTTGAATGTGCAAGTTAGACATTTTGTAGTGTTAAGCATTTTTTGTAGCAATCAGTTTCAGAAATCAAAGCAGGTAACCTCACAAAATTAATTAAATAGATGAAGATGTCTGAACTTGCAGATGATAATGTTGCCTGTAGGGGAAAAAAATGCATTTTAAAAAACCTGTTTTTTCTAATGATTTGCACAGAGTCCATGGTTCCTGTAAGCAGCAAAAGTATTTTTCTGGTAAGAATATATTCAGGGCTTTTTTGTTTTAGCTTGATAGTTAATCCAGGATTTTGAGAGCATACCATCTCTTGGCAATAAAATTCTAAATATACAGTTATCAATTTTTTAAACTCTTCCCCTACCCCAGGAGGACCAGGATGGTAGCCAAGGTGTGGGCAAGCGCAAGAGGGTGAAACTAAGCAGCACCACCAAAGGTATTTATAAAGTACTGATCTCAGTTTATCATATTTGCTTTATGTCTATCTTAAGAAATTATCTAGGGGTATTAATTCAGTTCCCAAGCACTGTAGTGCTGCATGTGACAGGTATTAAACATAGCAAAGTGTAAAAAAAGAATAGCAAGTGAAATTGTGGTAATTGGCAACTAATTTCCCTTGAGCGAGTACCACTGTCTGAGACTGTTTAACTAGTTATTTTGTCACCCTCATGTCGTAAGTTGACCTCTAAAAATTCATTCAATTTTCACTGTGTGGCTGACAAGGTTGCACTACAGCTTGGCAAGCAAGTTTTTGATGTACTTGTTCTTAACAATTTTTTTTCATTATGCTACTGTACAGTATGATTGTGTTCCCAGCCAGGCAAGAATGGTTCTTTCTGGTTCTGGTTGGTCTTTCTGTACTGCTCTATTAATGTCTAAGAAAAGATACTTGAATGAAGTCTCCTTTGAAACCACTCCATTATTTTCCCAGATTAGTCCTCTGTGCAATTTCTAGTCCAACATGAGCAGCACTTATAGTGAGATCAGTGCAAGTTTTGATTCAAGAATGAACATAGGCTAGAGTCAAGCAGCCCTATCCTGTGCTTGTTCTTGACATGTTTTGTGCTGAAAAGTGTTTAAATAATAATATTTAAACTTTAAGTATTGAATAAGGAACACTCTTGTTCGTTTGTTTTAATATCAGTATGAGGAGACTGACATAGGAAGCACAAAGAAATTGCGAGCCCTGAAAAAGAACAGTTAGGTGAAAAACAGTGGTGAAAGTTGGAATAAAATTTCTGGGAGGGCTTTAGAGTGAAGGTTTGGAACTTGAATTTGAAGTACAGGCATTCGTGAAGTCAGTAAAAAGGAATGAAGGTGTTGTGAGGAGTATGGCAAAATAAGATTGATCGTTTCTAGTGGTTTCAGATTGAAGGAAAAAGATTGGGAAGCTGGAAGAGCAGAGAACTAAATGTTTTGGCAATGGTATTGTTAAGCGGTGACCTTGCAAATGACGTGTGAAAGATTGTGGCAGACAATAATGATTTGGAAGAGGTGGTAGTTCTGGAGAAATGCAGGAAACTTACAGACGTCCAAGGAAGGCTCTTTTACTTGAATTTTGGAAGCTGTTAGGTTGTCTAAAAGATGAGAGTCAGGCAATGCAAGAAAAAAACTGGTTTTCTGATACATAATAACTAATTATGGGAAATAGTTAGGGAGGAAGCTCAGGTTGAGAAGCTGCCAGATCTGAAAACCAGTATCGGCAGTGGCATTTCAGGAAAAGTGTTACTTTAATTCAACATTTCATTTCCCCCCAGGATTGTAGTCTTCCCCCTCTGAGGCATCCCAACATGGACTGTGCTCATGATGTTGATAGCTCCTATTATCAGCCCCAGAGGAGGGAGTCTGCCAGTGGGGGAAGGGTAAGTATCTGTTTTTATGAAATATTGAATAGTTTTCTGAAGTTTTCAGTATTCATATTTTATGTCCAATAGGGTATAAAATAAGAGTATGAAAAGAAAATTTTAGAAAACTGAGTATTGAATAAAAACAGATTTACCTTTTCCATATGAGCAGACTCCCTGTCCCATCCTTGGTCTTTAGTGGTACTGTCTTCCTAGGGGGTTATTTATATACTGGAGATACCTTGGAATGCTAAGACTCATATTTCAGAGAGATGTTTACAACAGTCTATGGGGTCTTTCGTGGCGCTAAGAGAGAGTAAAAGGTTTCTTTAAAGAAAATACAGGTTTTATGCTGAAGTTCACTGATACTGGTATGGGACTGAGTATTGAGAAAATTTTTATTTTTACCCTGTTTTGAAACCTGCATCCTGCATCCATCTGAAATACCTGATGTTTAAGACAATTTTAAACCCACAGGCACTATATATATATATTTTTTTTTTAATTTGTTGAAAGAAATTTAAAATCATGTGGTGCTTTTCACGAGAGTGGGAACATTCGTTCCAGTGTTCTTGACAAATTTTCCAAGTTGGGTAAGAGCATTCTGCCTACTTAAATTCTATAGCAGGTATAAGTGGATATGTATTCTTCCGTCCCTGCCTGAAACTGCATTTTAAAGAATTTGATAGGTGCTATTCAGCTGTGATACGTGTCAGAGAAAGCTGCACATTAGTGACAGGTAACATGTTACGTCGCTTATCTTCATGCCTGGTGTTCTCGCTCAGGAGCATTTGGCATGTACCTAAGCCTGTGCTGTCTGTTGTGTGGACAGAGGACGTCAGTCTGCATGGCTACCAACTTTCATGGGCAGTAAAATCACACATGCAATTTCTTAACAAGAGATGAGGAAGAGACCATAAATGATCATCATATGTTTGCTGCAGTAGGTGATGTGTAATACTTTACAAAATATTTTAATATTAAAATAACTCTGTGGAGCTAAATTTTTATTTCAATGCTTGTAGAATATATCGAAGAAAACAGTCTTGTCTTTGTATGGCTTGCTAAAGTCTTGAGGAGATCCCTAAAATTTAAATTATTCATTATTTCTCATGATCTTTTGCAATTCCTGAGATGTTTTTGGGCTGATTCGTCACTTGGCTGGGGAACTCTGGCCTTTGGTCAGGGTGGAAAAAGGAGGTAGCTCCTGCTTAGGAAAAGCACAAATGGCTATCCTGCTTAGGATAGGCACAAAGCTATCCAGGGCAGTTCCTAAAGCTGCCATATTTCAGTGAAGAGGTGACATCTTCAAGGCCAGAAGATGTTCAGCTTAAGTGTTTTTGAATCTGTGCTGATGGGAACGCTTCATAGAATCCCATTGGAATATTGGATTGGTGGGGGCTGTGAATATCCTCAGGTCTAGTTGATTTCTAGGTATAAAGGAGCATTATTATTATTTTATTTAGTCCTTGTATGTTACAGGAGTGAACCATGCCTGTTGTAGTTTTAAATCATAAATAATTAACCTCTTGAAGAATGATGATAAAGAGTCTTTATATTTTAGTAGTTTTTTTTAAATGGGGTTAATATGATTTTTGCTCTGTCAAGCCATAGCTTCATGAACAGTTCATTCTAGCAGAGGTCAGTTTGTGCAGCTTTGCAATCACAAAACTGATCTGCTTGAAAATGCAGCTGACAGAATGGAAAGATTGCTTGATTCCTACATAGGTGCCCTGCAGGGATGTACTGTCAGCATGAGTAAGAGGGCAGAGTGAATGGCCAGGAATTGAATGGAGAGATGAGACTGGCTCTTCTGGTACCATCAGGAGCTAGTGCCTGCATATCTGATTATGGTAACTTTTGTGTTAAAAACCCCAACCAATCAACAACCAACCAACTAACCAAAAGCTTTGCTGTTGATCCATCAGTACATATATCGCTTTAGAAATAACTGATACGTGATTGCTTCTATTTAGCTTGTTTAGAGCTTTGTAAACAGAATGTAAGTGTTCTTAGGTGACTGAACTCATTACTTAATCATAAATTGTATTTTGTTGTTTTGCTATTTTAACTTCAGCTAGGTAGTAGTCTACATTAAATGTTTCCCTTGAAACACATGTCTGTGTAAATATTGTGCTGCGATTCATTACAATCAGTGGAGCTACTACAGTGAGGTGGTATGATTCAGTGCAGTCAATGAAGACTGGGCTCTGTGGTAGAATTGTAATGAAAACTTCCTTTGACTTTTCTGGGAGGTCCTTTTTATAGTCACAGACTTTGACACTGTGCAGTGTTGGCTATGTTAATTTTCCCAGTGTTTCTGAAAAATTATTTACGGACCACACTAAGATGTTCTTAAATTTTTGTTAATGAATTTTATATGACAGTGCAGTTGCACTATCATTAGTTTTAATAATTATTACATTACACATCCCCTCCTCCAACCTTTTATGCAGATCAATCTATCATGGATGTTTTGAAGCATAAATGTTTTCTAGAAGAATTATTATTTTGGACAATAAAATATGAGTTTCCACAGAAGATGGTGACTTTCTTACTCAACATGCTGCCAGATCAAGATTATAAGGTACTTGTCTTATCTCATTCAAACTTAAATGTCTCTTCTTATTCACATACTTAGTGTGTATTATGCCTTGTATGAGACCATATATGTTTATATTTGAAAAACGAGCAGAAAAATAATGCAGATCTTTTACCTTGTTTTGAGTATCTGGTTAGAAGGTCTAAAGCATCTCTCTTTGAAGAGAGATGTGGATAATTCTGGAGCACTGGTATTATTGTTCTCATGGTTTGCTTTTTTCCTTTTTGGCTGTTAGTGTGTATTTGCTCGTGTTGAATTTTGTTTTGTTTTATTTTACTTTGTAAATTTTTTTTTTAGCAGTTAAGAGGTGTGGATCAGCAGTACACGATTCTGTGTGTGGTATGACTGGTAAATAATTGCAGTGACTTCATTCCTGTTGTAACTGTTGTAGTAGGCAGTGTTTTCTCCATATAGGCCATTACAGTGTGAGTGTTCTTGCTGCAGTTGTGCCCTAGGTGATTTTGGCAGCTTTCCAGCTGCTTCCTTACAGGGTTTTGCAGTTGTCCATACTGAGTGTCTCCTGGCCTGAAGTCATGGAGAAGTCATTTTCCTGTTTTAAATCTTGGTGTGCAGCCAGGTTTGGTTGTTTGTTCTACATGTTCGAAGATGAAGTATACATAGCAATCAGGCTTCACATTTTGCTCTGATCATGTCATGCCTTTGAGCCATGCAAATATTTTGGACCTTCTCAATCCCTGCTGGGAGGCAAAGATGAAGAAATCCTGAAGTCCAGACGTGTAGATTTCTGCAAGAATGTCTGTTTATAATGGGACAGCCATGTATTTGTGCTCCCTTAAAACCTTGCTGTATCAAAGCAAAGGTTATGAAGATAACTTACAAGGAAGAAAAAGATAAGATACGGACTTTTGGCAATACTTTGTTCGTGTCAAGACAGCATTTTGGTTGAGGATGCCCGCGTAGATTCATCTTGGTCTCGGATTCAGCTAACACATGAGGAGACATGAGGACTTTTTGACTGATGATCCCTTGCCATGAAGCTTGAATTCTTCTTGATGTTTAGAGACTCACGTGGACATCCAGTTCTCCTGATCCATTGCCAGCTAAACTGCTACCTGTAAAAACATCCAACTGCTAGCAGCATGTGGAGGAATCTGGTAAGTGTTGCTATGTTTACCTTTTTTACTATACCATGTAAACAACAACTTTTAATGATCATGGGATCTTCTTTGATAACAAGCCACAGTCTTGAGTGGTTTGCTTCACTGTGTTCATAATCTTTCTTCACTATGTACTCAGAATTGAGACCATGGTATATTTTGTTTCTCTACTGGCTGCCACATTTATCTGGAAATACTCCATCTTCCACCTACCAATACTCTGTGTTCAGACAAAAGGATTATTTAAACATTCCTTTTTTTGTTACCAATTTCATATTAGGTTTGATTAAACAGTTAATCCCTATGTACAAACTTTATTACTAGCACAAATCCTAAGTATTCAAAATCTTCTGGAATTTGTTTATTCTAATTGCTGTGATTGTCTAAAAGGTATTTTTCAGTTGTAAGGAAACTCAGAGCAGGAAAAGTATCACACAGCAATACTAGGGAGGCAGTAACACTATTTTTTCCCAAGTACTTTTGCTTTGTTGCAAAACTGTGTTGATGATGCATGAATTTTAGATGTGTCTATGAGGATTTGACTAATTTACAAGGAATGGCTCTGCTTTTTACATGTGTACAGAGAGAATATACCATTTGGGGATGAATTAGAAGAATGTTTTATCTTTCCATATAGGTTTTATGAAGGAGAAGCTTGTTTGCAGTTTAGTCGTGTTGCATCCTCAAACTTCCCTTTAGGATTCCCAGTATCAAAAAGAGATATTGAAAGGGTTGGGTTAAAACCCTGGGTTAACTAACGCCTCCCCCTCCTTTTCCATATGAGAGAGACAGCACAACAAAGTGTGGTCTTTGCCTTACAGGATTTGTGCCTGAGGCATCCCTTCCAGCGCACTCTGACATTTGAAGCTTGGAAGACTTACAAGTGAAGAACACCGAAGAGAAATTTACCCACGCTTCCCAGAAATTAGAGGTGTTATGGTGCGGACCAGGTTTCTGCCAAAGGAAAACCAAAAGCCCAGAGGAATTGGACTGACCTTCCCATGACCAAGGAGAAGGCAGAGAAGGGGTTGGCATAAAGAGGAAGCTGATGGAAGAGTGTAAATCATTCAAGAAGAGAGCCATGCTGAAGTCTGGAATACTGGAAGTAGAGAAATGCAAAAGCATCTGGTAGAGATAATGAATGAACAAACATAATTATCAGAAATGCTGTGCCTCGTCAGGATCTGTCATAGTGAACATTGAGGCAGTTATTACAGAAATAGGACTTCCCTAACACCTGGATATGCTGTTCTACAAATTCTGTAGAACACTTTTTCTATTGGAAACTTAATTTTAGTACAGCTTTCACTTGGCAGAACTATCTTTTTCTTTGCATTGAAAACATAAACAAGGGAGATGCAAGTTTTGACTGAAACATGGGGTTGATGTTAGGCTCCTAAAAGTTCTGGGATTGTTGTGTGGCCACCAAGAGGAAAGGCCAGATGAAAAAGTTAACTTTGTTTTTGCATAGGCTAGAAATTTAGAAGCTGCGTAAGGTCATAGAAAGGAAGTCAGTGAAGGTAATTAAATACACAGAAAACATGTCTGCCTTAGGAAGCAACTCCTTGCATATGGTTGGAAGCTGAGTAAGTATTTGGAAAGATGTATTGTATCAATATCTGCATTTAAGATATAAATAAAGTATACTTTTCTTACTAGCAGCATCAGTATACTAACTTCTTAAAATATCAGGTGTGTCAGTTGTGTCTGAGGCTTAATATTAGTAGTGTGTCTTCATGCCATTGGCAGTCATTAAAGTCATATCAAGCTTTAATTTAAAGGAAATTATATGATAGGTTATTCTGCCTTGGAATACCAGAATGGTGCTCTATTAACTCTGCACAAGTATTGCAAATGCATTGTTCTGAAAAGCCTTTAGCTGAAAACAATTACAATTGTGCTGGGTGCTGCATGTAGAAGACTCTTTCAATTATTACACAGGTTTCCATCATTGTGAATCAGCTAAAGGAAAGCAGCCAGTTTTAAGCAGTGTTGTAGTGTTTCCTGCATTAACATCTCTGTACCTGCCCTTATCCATTTTTTTTTGCATGAGCAACTTTATTTTTGAGGATGTTTGCTGGAAGAAGCAATCTTTGTGCCCAGCAGCAACGTTGTGGCATTATAGTATTTTTGGAATATTTTCTGAATGAGAATAACATGGTAGTGCTATTTAAAATATATGGGAGCACTGAGTCTGAGGCAGGTAAAATGAAGTAGTAATTTGTACACAGTTTGGTGAAAACTCAGCTGCCTGAGGGTGGTTTTAAAATTTCTAATTTTATGCTTAAGAAAGGTTAATACTTCCAGAAGGAATAGACAGGGCATTTTAGACTTTGAGCTGAACATTTTCATCACTACACAGCTCATATTATCTCTTCTTATTAAGCCAAGGAAGTCCAGATGGTGTTAATCCAGAACTTGAAAACACTTCTCACTTAGTACTTTAAAGCTGGCAGACATGCCCACATGTATATGCAGTGCAGAAGGTTGGTTTACAATGCAATTTGAGGCTAATGGAGTGGGACAAGAAATTGTACTAAGATTTATATGTATATGTATTGATACATTTAAATACCAATCTGGTTTAAAACAAAACTCGAACAGTTGTGTGAAGAATAGCAAAGCTTGCTAATGACTTTAATTACTTAGGAGAAAGTGCTAAAGATTCAGTAAAAAAATACGAGATGTTATGATAGCAGATGAAATTCAGTGTTGAAATGTCATCCTTGACAGATGAATGAAAACCTTACTTATAGGATCATAGAGTCATAGAATGGTTTGGGTTAGAAGGGACCTTAAAGATCATCTGGTTCCACCCCCCTGCCATGGGCAGGGACACCTTCCACCAGACCAGGTTGCTTAAAGGCCCATCCAGCCCGGCCTTGAACACTGCCAGGGAGGGGGCAGCCACAGCTTCTCTGGGCAACCTCTTCCAGGGCCTCACCACCCTCACAGTAAAGAACTTCTTCCTAATGTCTAATCTAAATCTCCTCTCTTTCAGTTTGAAACTGTTACCCCTTCTCCTATCACCACACTCCCTGATCAAGAGCCCCTCCCCACCTTTTCTGTAGGCTGCCTTTAAGTACTGGAAGGCTGCTATAATGTCTCCCTGGAGCCTTCTCTTCTCCAGGCTGAACAACCCCAACCTCTCAGCCTGTCCTCACAGAGGAGGTGCTCCAGCTCCATGGTCATCTTCATGGCCCTCCTCTGGGCACATTTGAGCAGGTCTGTGTTTTTCTCGTGCTGGGCCCCCAGAGCTGAACGTAGTACTGCAGGTGAGGTCTCACCAGAGCGGAGTACAGGGGGTATCCCCTCCCTATGTAGATGAGTCCAAGTGATAAGTTAAGGCAGCTGTATTAGCCACCACTAATCTCATTGTTCATAGTGTATCATTTTGGAACATTAGTCCCTGTTTTAGGATGTAAAAAATTTAGGATAAATTCATTATTAGAATTTTACTGCTTTCACAGTATTCTGAGACCATATATTCCTTGTTTCAACGTTTCTGTTTGGTTTTGTTTTAGTGTGGAAAGTACAGAATGAGAAGATTAGATTTTGGTATAAGGTAATAAAATTGGGGTCATAAGTTACCCCTCTCTACAGATAGATAGGTCTTTTCATGTGGACCGTTTCTAGAAGCTAGACATGGGATAGTTAGACCATCAATTTTGTTTTATCATGGCAACTGGTGTTTCCTAGGATATTCTGTTTGTACTTTCGTAAGGGAATATTTTAAAATGAAAGAAAGCTGTAATTTTTGTATGGTGCTTGTTAACATAAAAATTTCTTTATAATTTGCAGATTGCTTTTACCAAAACTTTTGTTCAGCATTATGCTTTTATTATGAAAACACTGAAGAAAAGCCATGAATCAGACACAATGTCTAATAGAATCGTGCATATCAGCGTTCAGTTGTTCAGCAATGAAGAACTAGCACGCCAAGTAACAGAAGAATGTCAGCTGCTGGATATTATGGTCACTGTTCTGTTATACATGATGGAAAGTTGCCTTATTAAAAGTGAATTGCAAGGTAGGTTGATTTGCTTGTTTGTTTATTTGTTTCTATGGATAATAAATTGATTATAGAGGAAATTTAATCTCTGTCTTTGGTAATCAATCCACCCCCCAACTGCTTCCCAAAAATGCACAGGATCTAGCAATATACGGTAGAGGCTGAGTCTCAAACTGTAAAGATGGTTATCAAAAGTGATACTGATGTTTTATCCTTTGGTTTGTAGGGTTTTCTTTTGTAGGAATGTTTTATGGTTTATAATAGAGAGTATTATCTTGCAGGTGCTTAATTTGTTGGGTAAAGTGCATAAACACTATTTGTGAAGCTCATTTGAATGAGGAAAGTATATATGCAAATTGAGACCTGTATTAATTTAATAATTCAATGTATTTCACAAGCTATTTGAAGTATTTTAAATTGTTTTAATTTTTCTCACCTGTGTTTGCCTTAATAAAACTTGATATAATTAGAGGAGAATGATTTAATACTTTGTAAATATAATCATTTGATCAAGCTTTTGGTTGACAGTGGCAATTTGAATTTGAACTAGTGTACACAGTGTAGCTTTATTAGTGAAAACAGCTGTCCTGTTTCTATCCTCGTTTTACCTGTCCTTATCTGAAAATGGTGGCACAGTGAATCTTGCTGACTTCTGTTTTTCACGCTTTCATGTACCTAACAGACTGCAGACCTCTCTCTTTATCTTAATTTGGATTTGAAAATACTCTCTAGGTAGGCTGACTGCTGCTGCCAAATAAGTGCCATTAACTTCTGCATGAAATTGTAATTTTTCTTGTCTGCAGTATCCTTTGTCTCCAAGTGTACTCTGTATAGCCTAATACAGAATGACTGTACTGAAATGGGAAATCCTCAGTCATCCAGCTATAAAGAGTGCCCTCATTCAGCTACATTTCAACATGAGATGTTTTTCTGTGCCCTACATAGATTGCTTTACAGTATTCAAAGAAAAATGTTGAATCTTTCTCTTCAACAACAGTGACTTTTGCTAAACTAATACCCTATTGGTGGAATGTAATTTAAAACTACTTTTAAGTAGTTGTTTTTTCTTGTTGGTCAGTATGGGATGTTGCTAGCATGGTGGTAAGGTTCTGCAATAGATCAGAGTTTGCAGCCAAACAGAAAAAGGCTGTGACTGTGATTAGACATTCTCTGAAGAAACTTCCTGGAAATTAATTATGTAAGCTGGAGCTGGTAAGTTAAATAACACAAGATTTGTGAGAAAAGTCTTACCCCTGGAGCAGCTATCCCAAGACATGAAGTTACCTGTTTTCCCCAGCCCCAGTGATTTGTCTTAGCTAAGACTCCATCATGGAATGTCTGGTGCTTTTCAATGTTTTCACAACACCTCATCCTCACTGCGTTATGTATGAGAGGTTGGGCATACTGTAAATTGACAGAAAAAATTTAACAAAATGCTTTATTGATTTTTTTTTTCTCTCATATTCCATTGGCCTTCTTTTGCAGTTCTGTGGGCTTGTATCTTGCGTTTAGTTCAAGGTATCTCTTAGGATGCTGGAAATAGTGAGAAGTCTGTTAGAAGTCTGTGCTGGTGAGATAAATTCTGTTTGTGCAGTTAGTGCAAACAAATAGGTCGTTTAGTATCTGAATGAGACAAAGTTTACAAATCCAGGCAGTGGATGGATGGAGAAAACATGCTGGAGAGGAGCAAGGAGAACATGGAGCGGGAGTTGTATCTGCTAAGGCATGTTTAGTTTGCATTGCGCTCAGATCCTAATTGTCTTTTCAACAGCTGACACCTGTTAAAAGTATACGGTTCATTAAGGGTGTTTGTGGCTGCCAAGTGACAACCTGTGTTCCTGAAACAGAGTTGACCTAGATGCTGATGCCAACTTTGAAAGTGCTTATAGTTCAGCTTACCTCTTTCATGCATGGCGTGAAAGGATAAGGAGGTGAAATGGGGGTGCAGATGATAAAACTGTCTCCTAGGAAGACTTATGTCCCTGAGCTTTTAGAGAATTTTTTTTCCTCTCTATCAGCACTTCCTCCTACTGAAGTTTTCTTGGGAGAAGAATTTATACCCTAAGGAAAAGGTTTTGGTAGTGGTTTATCCTTAAAAAAAAACAAACCAAAACAAAACAACTAGAAATCTTTTCCTTTGACTGACCTTACATTAACCCTGTCTTGTAGACTACTCTGAATAGGAGGCAATGCCACTGCCAATTTGAAGTAACTCTGGATTTGTCTAGTCTGTACTGGGGCAGAGAATCAGCAACGTGTAACTGTTGGCTCTTTGCAAAGTCCTTCAGCAGGTTCAGACAGAGCCAGCTGAGATGTTACCCTGTTCTTGCATAGGCTGTGCAAGCACATGGGAACCAGGCAGCTGAGCAACAAGACCTAGTTTCCTTTCTTCGCAGATGTACCAGATAACAAGAGAGAGATTAAAGAGTATTTGATCAACTGTGGCAGAGAAGTTTGAGAAGCTCTGCAGAGCACTTCTGGCTTCCTGTTCCTTCCAGTGCTTCAGTGTGGTAGATAGGAGTCACTCTTAAGAAATGGAGCTCTATATTACTCTCATGGTAACAAGAAGGTATCTGTTCATAGTTCTGTGCAACTCAAGCAGCGTATTTTTCAGGATTCAATCTGGTTGATTTTTTTGACTGTGCTGTGTTCTTGGGAAGTAAAACTTGTCAAGATCAAAATATTGTACAACTTCAAATTAGAAAACCTGTTGACATAACAGGCAAGAGAGTTTTTGGTTTTTTTTTCCTGGTACCAATAAACAAACAACCTCAGAGTAAGAAGAAAAGTATTTTCTTCAGTAGTTCTCACAAAGGGGAGGAAAAAAGCTTACGTATATACCAAACGGAACAACTGCAGATAGAGATGTGCCTCATCAGATGGAGATTGGAGTCTCTTAGTAACAGTGTCTTTTTGGCTGTGGCACACTGATTATGACCCTTTCACTGTGTAAAGGGTAGTTAACTGCAAGGGTCCTTCAGTGCATTTGAACTGGACAAGAGCAACCCCCAAAGCTGATCATCAGATACAAGATTTTCTTTCTTTTGTTTGCTTGAAATAGAATAGCAACTGACAGATGGGTGCTGGAATCATGAATCCAGGACCAACTCTACTTCCCTTCTGGTCTTTCCAAGAGTCCCTCTTATGAAAATCAAATAAAGAGATTATTTGACGGCTGTACAGGATGTACTTCTGTGATTTGGGGAGGAGACTTCTCCCCCCCTCACAGTTTCTTCGCCACTTCTTTTGGGAACCTTCTCCTGCCCTAGTCCTAATTTTTGTTTTTACATTATTTTGTAAGTTTATTTAAAAATTACAAGAAGAAGAAAAAAAAGTACTTTTTTTTCTTTTTTTCTTTTTTAAATATAGATGAAGAAAATAGTTTACATGTTGTGGTGAATTGTGGGGAAGCATTATTGAAGAATAACACTTACTGGCCCCTGGTTAGTGATTTTATAAACATACTTTCACACCAAAGTGTGGCAAAGAAATTTTTGGAAGATCATGGTCTTTTGGTAACATGGATGAATTTTGTATCGTTCTTTCAAGGTATGTGATTTTTATAATCAGTGCTAATCCAATGATGTTAATACAGCTTGATGTTTGCAGTAGCAAAATCCTTACACTGCTGTATGTAAATATTTAATTCTTTAGTATTCTCATAAGTCTATTCCTTGAAGGGAACAATATATTCTAGAAAACAGGCAGATTTGAAAAATCATCAAATGGATCTTTATTTTGTGTGGACTAATTAAAGAGCAATTACATCACACTTGACTGATCTTCATGGTGCCAGAATTCTCAGGTTGTACTTAAAAGTACAAATCATAACTTGTGCTAGAAGTGTTTTGCTGGTGAAGTTCTAAATTTAAATGTGGGATAAATTAATCTGGTAAATCTGGATCTTTTTCTAAGTGTTGCTGTGAAGAAACTTTTCTATTATTAAAAAAAAATATTTTAAAATAGTGATGTTTTTGATACTGATAAATGTTCTGCCTAGAAAGAGAATCAGGTATTTTCCATACAAATTTTCTCATTGACTAAGTGATGGTCAAAGTAGAAGGGCTGCTGTACATGTTAACATCATGGCAACAGCAAGGACTGCAGTTACTAGCCAATCTAGAGCTGTTGCTCTTTTCCGGTCTATTTCTGTTCAAACTTTGATGCTTGTTCTCATATGTTATCTATTACTCTGCTGCTAGATAAGACAGATTGTTACACTTGGCGTTTTTTTGTCTTAATAGGTATGTGAATGCATAACACTAAAAATACAGCATTCCACTTAGCCCTAGTTAAATATTTGGTGGTATAACTCTGCTTAAATCTTTGAAGGTATGAATTTAAATAAACGAGAATTAAACGAGCACGTGGAGTTTGAATCACAGACATACTATGCTGCCTTTGCTGCTGAGCTGGAAGCCTGTGCTCAGCCAATGTGGGGTCTTCTGTCCCACTGCAAAGTTAGGGTAAGGCTAACATTTCTTTGTTGTTATTCTTGGTTATTCATGATTTATTCTAGAGTTATCAAATCTGAAAGGTCTGTCTGTTTTGTGTTTGAAAAGACTTGGATTTTACTGTCTTTGTCTACCAAATGTGTAACTGTGATCAACTCGGATTCTGTGTATAGTGAGTATAGAATTCATGCATGTACCTAATTTATTGTCTCCAGAACTCTGACTGCAAGTTTGGGATGTGTACTGTCATTCCATATGACTGTACATATGGAATAATTTCTGATCTGATGAAGAACTTGATGAATGTCTGAGGCATTCTGCCTTTGTTCAGTGGCAAAGGAGTTGCATAAGTCATCCCTAATGTGATTATAAAGTTGATTGTGTGTGCAAATAGACACTTCATTATGATGAGGGAATAGAGTAATTTATGGGTTTGTGTTGTTTTACTGACAACCTAAGGTGAAAGCCCCTTAGGTTCTGCCATCTCATAGTCTTCTAGCTAGATCAAAGAGTTGGTACTATATGCTAGACTGTAAATTATATTAAGTTATAGTAAAAATTGAATCCATCAGCTTATAGGAATACTTCACATGTGAAAAAAACTTTTTATTGTTTATTTTTTAATGAAATAAATACTGATCTTTTGAAATCAGCTTATTCAGGTCTGTAATAGCGTACCTGAGACAGTAATATCTGAATTGAACTGGGCACTGAAAAAACGGGCGTGAGCGTACTATGCACTTTAAAAACAGTTTACGTCAGGCAGTTGCAAAAGCCCTTCAGTTGTGTAAGTTATACTGAAGCATTATGAATATATCAATTCATGACTCTAAATTATCTTTTGAAAACTGAATTACAACTTCTGGCTTTTTGAAGCATTCCTTTCTTTTTCGCTTAGGGATGGGAAGGACTGCCTTGAAGGCCTGTATGATTCCCTGCTCCGCCTGTTGGCATGTCAGTCATGTTTTCACACCCATGTTTGAGCCCTTTGGTCATTCTCAATAAATCTGAAAGAGTTTTAGAAATCTTGTAGCTTAATTGTTGTATTTGTTTAGCAAAACCTGATGGGTGGGAAGAGATTCCAGCTCATGTCCCACAGGAGAGGAAACCCCATGGAGCCTGGCCACCATAGAGGGTGGAGCAGCAGGATAGGAGTGTGGCTGTTGTGTTTCCTGATGAGAAAAGGTCCCTGACTGAGCCAGTCGGCACTTGCCCAGCTTTTGGCTGGCCAAAACATTGCTGGCTTTAACATGAGAACTGTGTTACAGATATTGTAAGAGTGTGAGGCAGGTCTGGAGTCTGTGTTTAGGGGGAAGGGAAGATTAAAGGAAAGGTCAGTTAAGAAAGGAGGCTTTGCAAGTTCTGTGTCACAGAGCAATTTGGTTTAGTTCCCTTTCCGCCTTCGTTTCCTGACATCACTGCTTTGCTCCTGGAGGGCAGTGTAGAGCTCTAGTCTGGAAATAACATGATTTAATCTGAAATATATTAGAGTTTTAGGGCATTGTTACAGAGTTAGATCATACAATCATAACAAGGTTTGCTTATTGTTAAAATCTGTGAGTATTCTGTTATCGTTGCATTTCAGGTGCATTGTGTTAGCCAACTGTAAGGGCCTTTCAGTAGATAAAACTTATAGGACTTTAGCCTTTCCTTTTGGTTGCATGGAGAGACTTTTTTTGTTATGCTTACATCTCTAAATTTTTGGTAAAAGTAAATGGATGAATTAAGCAACAGTAGGCCCTAGGTCAGCTGATTATTCTGAAAGTGCCTTAATTCTCACCATTGAAACGATCATCTTTTAGAGTAACAATGAAACCATCCTAATACTTACTAGTTTCCAAATGATGGGGGCATACCTTATGTACTGTAAAAATGTTCTTGAAATAATCATGTTTATTTGTAGTATAAAACCAGTGACACTTACTTAAAACTGTTTTGGCTTATGTAGTACACTGATTCCTCTTACTTCAGGAAACACAAGAATACACAAGAAATGTTGTCAGATACTGCCTTGAAGCACTTCAGGACTGGTTTGATGCTATCAACTTTGTTGATGAGGTAAGTATCCTTAGTGAATTTAGGCAAAGTACTGTGAAAATCTGATTAAACTTAAAAGGTGATACACTCTCTCTGTTCCCACCCCCCCTTAAACTGAATCATCATTCTAGGTACTGATTGAAAAAGGATTACCCTACTGAAATTAGTGTTTGTAGTTAATAGTTGCGATGTTATGTCCTAGGATCCTTTATTTGTAGAATCTTGGTGATTGAGATTTGCTTGTGCAAGCTTAAGCTTTGTGAATCTTAAAAGCAGTACTATTGCTGTACTACTGTTCTGCTGAATGAAGAGCTGAAGCAATGGCAAAACAGAAGTCCTTTTCTGATACGGTAGCGGGGAGCAGCTTTGCCGCCTTAGCACACAATACTGTCAATCAATTCAGAGTGTCATTAGCTGCTGGGGCTTAGTAGGAGATTAACTACAGCCATCGGAGTAAGGGGAATTTCTGAACCATTGGAAAGTGCAGAGGAATGAGGTTAGTGGAAGGTAAGTCCATCAAATGAAGACATGCAAGATACTCTTCTTGGTGGTTGTGACAAAGACATTTGTAGGTTTGTTTTTTAATATATGATACTAAAATGTCTTTGTTTTGCTTTCAGCCAGCTCCTAACCAAGTTACTTTTCATTTGCCACTGCACCGTTACTTTGCCATGTTTTTAAGTAAGGTAAGTGCATGTTTTAGTCACACAGAAGATGGAAATCCCCTGTTGAGCATGATTGTTCAGTACAGTGTGTGCTTGCTTTTGTTTCTAGGCTGTCAAATGCCAAGAACTAGATCTGGATACTATCTTGCCAGATCAGGAGATGCTGATGAAACTAATGATTCACCCACTTCAGATTCAGGTACGGGCAACTTCTGACTTTGGTGCAGATGTATAGATCTACAACAAAAAAATAGTTGCTGTCTGATTCTTTTAACCCCAGTCATTTAAATATATTTAGAAGTATTTCACAAGAGGGAGTATGTCTTAATTGTGGAATATCAAAATAAGCCGTATGTGACAATAATAACTAGAATATACTGAGTAGTTAGGATAAACCATTTTTTTCCTTCTTATTTCCAAAATTAAATATGTGGCATTAGTTTTCATACTCTGAGAAGTATGATAATAATACTCACTGTAGCATGTTCAAAAGGGTAGGAAGAACCAACCCTTTGAAAACATGGAAATGCATGTTCATAGTTACTATTGGAGGGCAAGTTGAGAAGAAACCTGAATCTGAAAATTTAGTATTTTAAATTGAGAATGAGTTCAACAATGGATGCACCCTGCAACATTATTTTTTTAATTTATAAATTTGTATTTATTTCTGTGTTAGTGATAGTGAGCAGTATTTGTAATTACTGCTTTCATATCTAACCACTCTTTAACCATGATGCCTACATCTTTGGAGTACTTTTCAAGATTTTGATAAATAAATACGTAACTAAATCACTTCATTTCAGACAACGAAAGTGATCAAAGCCAATATGCTCTCATATGAAAGTATGGTGTCTGTTGCATAAACTTGCAGTGGTTCCTTTTCATCCTACCCTCCCCAGGAGAACTGAATTAGTATAAAAAAAAGTATGCTTTTATTTAAAGGTGTAGCATGTATGTGTGTATATGGGTGATAATACATTGATGATCTGCTAAGACTGAACTGAATAGCTGAATATCCCCAAAATGTTTGTAACACTTTATTTTCTTTTCCCTGAATAGGCAAGTCTTTCTGAAATTCACAGCAACATGTGGGTTAGAAATGGTCTACAAATTAAAGGGCAGGCCATGACTTATGTCCAGTCTCATTTCTGCAATTCAATGATTGATCCTGACATTTATCTGCTTCAAGTAAGTTATGTTTTCTGAGAAGCCAAGCCAGTGCTTGTTTACAAACAAACTACAGAATAAAATGAATTTATTTTCTTTCCACAGGTCTGTGCCTCTAGGCTGGACCCAGATTATTTTATTTCATCTGTTTTTGAAAGGTATGGTTAAAAGATGAATGCTCTTGTTCAGTGTTGTGCTAGCTGCTTACTAATGTATGCCATATGAGAGAAGTGCATACCTGATATGCACCTTCAGTGGTACAACTCTGCCTAGCCAAAACTAATACTTTACCTAAGGGCTCTACTGAAAGAGGTATATCCTTGGTTTATGCAGGATTGACTTTTGATTTACAGTGCAGTAGTGAAGCTTCAGACATTTGTTTTCTGAGCATCTTTAGGGTGTTATAAATTTTACACATGTTCATATACAAGCTTTCAGGGTATGCTAACCCAAAGAAGTAGATAAATAGATGTGTAATAGCAAGAGACACAGAAAGGGTGTCTGCTTTTCAGGATAGAATAAAATCGGAGTTTAAAAGCAGATTAATTGACATTAGCTTTTATATGTTCATAAATGTAAGGTGTTTTCATGCAGAGTATGTATCACTATAGCACATTCCATAGAAAGTGAAATAAAAATCCAAATTTAAAAATAAGTGAGTTTTCATATATGTTTCCATATTATTGCATTATATGAATTTCATTTTGTATTCATTTTGGGTTGTTGTGAATGGTATCTGGAGTTTATGAGTACACTTCACATGGGTGTTTTAATGTTGAAGAATGATGTTTCTGACTTTACTCTTTGCTATGCAGATTTAAGGTGGTAGATCTGTTAACAATGGCATCACAGCATCAAAATACGGTTCTTGACTCAGAGCACGAAAGGTCCATGTTGGAAGGAGCCTTAACGTTTTTGGTCCTTCTGTTAAGTCTTCGTTTACATTTAGGTAAGAATCACTGCTTTAGGAATGCTTGTATGTAAATAACATGCGTGTTCATTTATAGTCAGCATTTAGTAGCTACCATAAAGCTGATTAGCCATATAGTAACTTAAAGCATTCAACACTTTGTTTCGTTTTTGCCTGTAACCAAATTTTAATCTCTTATAAATTAGAAATAGACATAATACATAGAAATGGAGAAAAAGTACTTTAATGGAAGAGGGTGCTTTGTGTATGTGATCACATGAAAATTCTCTGTCTTTTTCAGAAAGACAGCAGGTTTAGTTTGTACCTGTCTTTTCTGACTGAGATAATTTCTCTCATAACTTTTGTGCCTGCCCCCCTTTTCTTTTGCTCTGTTTTTATAGCACTGTATCATTACTTAATGTTTGTATAAAAGTTTAACTTGTGTTTAATGACAAAAATATGCTAAATGTGTGTTTCAAAATCATGCTAGTTTAACAGCTTTTTAAATGTTATTGTTCTAGGAATGACAGATGATGAGATCCTCAGAGCAGAGATGGTGGCCCAACTCTGTATGAATGACAGAACACACAGTTCATTATTGGATCTCATATCCTTGGAATATATTAACTAATGTGCATGAATAAGAATGAGGAGTACCTGGATAGTAGTGTGATTTTGGAGCTTGAACAAGACATTTTCAGCTTACATAATTATAAGAAATTGTTTAAAAGTGTGTTACACTTACCAGCAGAGGCGTTTGCTCCAGCTTTGTTTTTTTCTTAGAAAATATGCAATACTTTGTAATAGTTTTAAATTAGTTTTGCTACAAAATGCCAAACTGCTCTTTTAATTTTTATTATTTTTTTAACACTACAAAATTCTTTTAAGTGTGAGATGGAAAGGCTGTTTTTCAATGATGTTGTAGAAGGTTTAGCCAAGCATCACGTTTGTCTGGATTTGAGCCTTTGATTATTGCTTATTTTACGCCAGTATAAAAAGAAGGCACTCAACAATATATTGGCTTTTGCTATCATACGTCAAAATGCAAATAATAGCAATTTTGAATGCTGCTTTGAAATTAGAGTGAAATGTATGTGTCGTGGGGGGAAGTGTCTTAACTTGAAGAATAGCAAACTCTAGGAAGTCTTTCTGTGCAGTGACATGGTTCATGTCCCCAAACAGATGGATAAATATGCAGGTTTTACTGCTATCGATGTATTAGGCTGTCTAGGCAAATTAAATAGCTTCTGGTGATTTCTGAAAAGAGCTTGCAATCCAGGGGTAGGGATTGAGCAAAAATATTAGGAATTTATAGATAGGAAAGGAGAAGATTTGAGAGTTACAAATATTTAATAAGAGTTATTAAGTATGTAAAATAAGCGAATCACTTAGTGATTCACTTAAGTGATCACTGTCTAAAATAAATGAATCATTTATGCAAGCAATCACTTATCAGTACACAGAAGTTTCCTTATTTGTAACTGGTGTTTGTGATTTGGGGAAATGTCAGTAGGTCAATTTAAGTATTGCTACCAAAAATGAGAAGTAGCCAGCCAAGATGGAAAATTACTTATTGTGTTTATGGATCCCGAACTATTTACTTGCTTTTTCTGCACTCAGCTGTAAGCGCAAAATACTCTTGCTATGAAGAGAGCCAAACTATTAGTAAAGGCAAGCGCAAAAACTTTATATACACTACAGATGTAATGTTTATTTCTCATTTATTACCTGCCTCTTGAGCCAAGCATGTAGCCGTTGACTTGCTTTAAAAAGTTTAATGTTCTAGCTAGGAGACTTTGATTCACTTCGGCAGTAATTACTGTTCCGTAGCGGCTGGAGCATACAGACCTCTTGTGGTAAACACGGAGCACTGCTGAAATGTAGCCTCTGAAATGAGTGACTGAAAACTTCGAAAAGGAAGTAAAATGCTGCGTCCTGCATCTAAATTAACTTTGCTTTCCTTAATGCAAACATTACATTCCAGAAAACCCCAATCCTAAAAGTGGTATTATTCCAGGAAGCTTAAGCTTTGAATCAGTCTTGTCAGCAGTTGCTGATTTTAAAGCTCCTGTTTTTGAACCTGGAGGTTCCATGCAACAAGGAATGTATACGCCTAAAGGTACAGTAATCGGTGTCCTCTTATAACATACTCAGTGGTAAGATGCTTAACCAGAGGGTTTTTTCTTGGAAAAAAAAAAAAAAAACCAACAAAAAACAACCCGCCGAACAATGATAACCCCCCCCAAAAACGCACAAAAAAATTAAATCCAAAACCACCACCAAAACCCGACAGAACTTGTTTGACTTTTTCATTATTATCTATTGCTTATATTTAAGAGCATTTAAGGCATTGCTAAAGATTGTTAATAGTCTTTAGTAAATTCATTTTGTTCTAGAGTGAAAATGAGTTTATATTAATCAAGTGTCCTTAGAAAGCAAGGGAAAAATAGAGAACTGAAAAATTACATTATTTGTATTTCACTGATCTGCATACCTAATCATTCACGTGGTTTAAAAAAATCTGATGTACATTCAGTAGAGTTTAGAACTGTTTGCACTAGTGAGGTGTCAGTTGTGAAGATACTTTCTTTGAACTTCTCCACATTTTGCTTACTAAAGATATCACAATACATTAATTCTTTCTTTTATATTTAACTGTCTTAGTAGCCTGTGACATTTTTCCCAGTGAACAGTGAGGGTCTAGAGCAAAGTTCAGACTAGACTGGTTGTTCTGTAATTCTGCAGTGCATACAGTACAAAAAAAGAGACGTTTCTTCCCCTAACCAGCTTGTAATCTAAACTGGACTCAACATAGTGTTGGTATATCAAAGGAGAGGAAGAATTTAAGGACTCAGTGTTCCATTGCTGTTTCCTGTCACTGAGCAGATAAGCCTGTAGGAATCTCAAATGCTCCATGTGCTCTGCTTGTGCTTCAGCTCATGGCAAAGCTGAAGAGGTATTAACTCCTTCCTCCCCCAAGTACCTCCCTTGAGTACTGGTGGTGTTGGGGTCTGACAATTTTGAAACCATTTAGTTCATAGGCTATGTTCTTTTGTGGACTTTGTTGTTAATGCAGGAACTAATACTATAATAACTTGTTTGCTAGTTTTTATACCCGGAGATTAATGAGTCAGTAAAGCTTTTACTTTTATACAAATTAACAACCAGTGAAGTCATTGTGTGAAACCAAAGTTTTGGAATCGATTCGTTCTGGTTCCTTGATGTCTAATTAGGCAGCTTAACACCTATGTATTTGAAATAACTTTATTTTAATGTTATTTAGTAACTGCATTTCCTTATGTAATGTCTGATTTCTGGAGCTTGTGACATGCTGTTATTTTTTATAACAGAGTGAAGGGAAAAAAAAAAGATTGTGGTATTTTTAATTATAACACACTTTATTTAGGGAATCTGATGCTAGATTATAGATTTTTGGGGGGTTTTGTGTTTGAGGTTTTTTAACGTAGTGTACCTCTGGAATAGATTATTTGTCTTAAATTTTTTTTGAAGTATCTCATTTATAGCTATGAATACTGAAGTAATTCGTAACACTATGCAGAATCCCTTTTTCTTAAAGTAATAAAAACCTAAAAGAGCTTCTGCAGAAATAAAAGCCAATGTGGTTTTCTTGTGTACTATAGCATTTTAAGTGTTTATAATCTTTATAAGCCTATGTAGGCTCTCAAAATGAATGGTGATATTCCAGTTGCTTTTAAGAATTGTAGTTTGTGGCTTGTCACAGTTTAAACAAGTCATGTTGAGATCCATTCCCCCTAATCCCTTGTTTTCTTAAATTTAAGGTAAAAAAAAATAAATCTACTCTATGATTGCAGAAGCCTCAGATTTTGCTTCCATTAACCATCCATTAAAAAAACCCGAAACCTACTTCTAAAAAAAGGACGTAGTTCCTGTTCTCTGTGGGTTTGTGTGCTGAAGATGAGCTGGGTGTGCATTTCTACCATTCCCTGTATGGCTCCTTCACTTAGTCCTTTTTCCTCATGGTACATTAGCAGTGCAGACAAGCTTGGTCTGTGTTTCAGGCTGCAGTAGTAAATGCTGTCTAGAAAAACGGGATTTTTCGCAAGCTAAGTTTGATCGTATTTAATACATAGTGGAAACTATCCTGAGTGTTCTAACTCGGCAGTGTATTAGGGCACCTGTAGAACTGTTAACATTAGTAGGAGTTAATAGGAGTATAGACCACTTGTCTTCCTGCCTGGGGTAAATTAATCTCAAAAGCACGGTCAAGCTGCGCACTTTTGCCTGTGAAAACTTTTAAAGAATGTTGTAAGCGCTTGTGTTGCATTATGCCTGCTGGTGGAGCTAAAATTCTGTATCCACTGGGTTTCTTCTTCCTTTGATGGGGTCATTGAATCTTGCCTTTAATATTGCTGTGTTACAAGAGCTAAACATTTCCCAACTATTAATAGAATTAACATATTCATTTGGCTTTAGGTTGGAAACTTTGGTTTTTAGTAACTTGTAAACAGAAAAATAAAGTAGCAGTTAAATGGGATATCTTTATTTATAGTCTGTTTAGACTTTTCTGTTTGCAATTGCTCTGAAAAGTCCCTCTGGATGTTACTTTAGAGCTGCTAAACAGAGACAGCTAAGATTTTAATGCCAAAATAATGCGTAGATATTAGTTATAAAACAAAGGCATGTTTGTAAAGGTTAGATCACAAGTCTTATATGATAAGAAACTGCTGTTTTCAAAACTGAACAAAAAATTGGGTTGTGGTAGTCGTTTGGCTCACTGCACTTAGTAGTTGAATATCACCTACCTGCTAACTGCTCTGCAGTCTTTACTTGCTGTTTTTAAGAGGGCTTGTGCTTATCAAGTAGAAAATGAAAAATAATTTAGACCTTTTATTACATGTATTTGGAAATTAAAAAGAGCAGAACAAGATGCATACGGAAAAGGTGATTTGAGGCTGCCTTCGTATACTTACAATCTGATAAATACATTTATATTTGTAAATTTAATTTGTTTTTTTTTTTTTAAACTTCCTTCAGCATGTGTTGCAACTGTTATTTTATCAGAAATATGTGATTTTTCTTTTTATTTTTTTATGCCACATTGTAAATCATTACATAACAGAAAAGAAAGCTAGAAGATGCTAAAATAAAGATTGTTAATAGAAAAGATTTATTGCCTTAATTGTTAATTTTTTGTTTTGGAGCTAAGAAAAATATATTTGGTGAAATTTTGATATCTTGATAAGTACAAGTAATTATTAGTATACTAAGTATTATTAGTAAGAAATAGTAAAAATTACTGTACTTTACAAAAAATTACTATCTAATAGAAAATTACATAATTAAAGCTAGTTAAAAAGATAATCTAGAATAAGTTGTAAGGTCTTTAAAGAGAATTTTTACACGTGACTTCTTTTAAACAACAGCTGAAGTTTGGGATAAGGAATTTGACCCTGTCATGGTAATACTTCGAACGGTTTACCGTAGAGATGTGCAGTCTGCAATGGACAGATATACAGCATTGTAAGTTGACTCATTTTTAGAAATGTAACATCATACTGTTGCTCATTGCACAATAAGTTTTTTGTTTTTACTGTCTGGTAGTGCTAATCATGTTACTGATGTTTTCAGGCCCCAGATTTGTCCTTGAGTAAATAGTTTATAAATTTACAGGCAGTATCAAGGTTCTTGGTTAGCTTAGCCAGTTACTCTTCCGTAAATGTTTAAAAATACATCTGAAGTCCCACAGACAAAGCAGTGAACATTGTCGCAGATAAAATACATAATCAAAAGTTAATGTTTAAGAATCAGTTACAAATTACATAAAGAAAGCAGCTTTATCTATTTTTGATTTTTACATTTAGTTAGGTATATGAAGCACAGTGTTACAGTGTTCTGTGTTTTAAAATTATATTGAAGACAATGAGGATTTTTTCTGTGTATTCCCCCATGACGGAAATTCACCCATGGGTGAATTAAATTCTGATCTAAATAAGGAAAAAACACTTGTGGTACTCTTAAGTTCTAAGAAACAAGATGATTTGGTCTTAATTCTGTCTCTTAACATTCCAACCCTTATAGCTTCTTACCCTTACAGATTCTTATTTCATCTAATTTAATTTACTCGTCTTTTGTGTCACACCTTGGGAATAAAACCCAAGTTTAAAACCCTGTATAATAAATTTAGTGAAATAATCCTCTGCTGTTGTGCTCATTCCGTTAAGTCAAAGGGTCACCATGAACCTATACTGTAAGCAATTTTGAGCAAGGTAGTATTCTATTAAATAATTGCATTGTCTACTGCACGGGATTCCAGCTAGTTATTAGAAATAGGAGTTCATATTTAATCAACACTTAATTTTAAAGTTCATAGGTACGATAGCACTGGTACTGTCACCTATAGCTAATGATGTCTAAAGTTTCCTCGTGTTGCCTGTAATCCATTCCTACAGATGTGAGATTTCTGTGTTGGATGTCTAACATCTGGATTTGGGTGAAGTGAGAAGCTTTCCATCTCTTCTATGTGCCTCTTAGAATGAAAGTGGAATTCTTAAATTCATAGCTTAAATTTATAGCAGTAATTAAGGGTTCATTTAACTTTGTAAGTAAATGTCATTTAAATCAGTGGTAATCCACAGAAAAGTAAGACTGGATTCAATTTGTGTATACGTTCCAATTTTTGGAATGCTGCTTAAATAAATTAATTGGCTTGGAAACGCTTACCAATTTTAAAGTTGGTCTGAACAACAAAGAATGCAGGATGGTCGCCTATAACAGTGGCACTTGTCTACATTGTTGCAGTGTTTAACAAGTCTCATTTGTTTCAACAGTTTAAAGCAAAGTGGTAAATTCCCTGGGAACCCATGGCCTCCTTACAAGAAGAGAACACCACTACATCCAAGTTACAAAGGTCTCATAAAGCTTTTACACTGTAAAACCCTGCACATTGTGCTGTTCACGCTTCTTTACAAGGTACAGTCATACTTCTCATTAGGTCCCAGTATTTTGCTTCCACTTTTTTAGAACAGTTCTTAGAAGCATGATTTTTTTTTTCAGTAGATTATTTAGAGTAGTCCGGTTCAGATTTATATTTTTATTTTTGTTTTTTTTTCCAAGTCTAATATGATGATATTTTTCCAGCATTTTCATTATTTCATGAATGATTATTTCATATATAAATACACTATGGGGTACCCAAGTTGATGAGCAATCCTACTGTACTTTGTGAGGAACACTTATTTTAACCATCAGAGTTGCCATTTGGATTGTTGTTCCATGGTGGTTTCAGGGAGCATGGTGGTGTGAGTGGTGTTCCTTTGGCTCCCACTGCAGAGTTTTAAGGATCAGCAGCCTGTTCAAATATATGCAACCTTGATGGCTTTAGATCCTCAATGGCAAATATGTCTCATAACTGCAGTTGGTACTAAAATCACTTCCCAGATACATTCTGGCTTTTGATAATGTTATAGCACTTGTTTTTTAGGACTAATTGATGCCTTTATGTTGTGTTTGGTTTTGTCTTTGATTGTTGGCTGCGCTTTTTAAGAGAAATGCATCCTTTTTGAAGAGTAGATCCATCAGAAAATTGGACTTTGAATCTGCCTTTGTACTTGGAAAGCACTTTCAAAGTGGTGTGCTGCAGAGGCAGATGAGGGACTATAAAAAGTGGTTCGATTGAGAGTGCTTTTCCTGGACAGACTTCCCTTTTGTGCTCTTTTAAGTGCTTCCAGCTCCCCTAAAGCTTGTTGTTTTGTTTCTCTGTTAACTATTCAATAGAAAGTGAACTTGTTGTTAATTATAGTAATAACTGTGTGGCATTCACAGAGCGCCATGCGTATTCCCACGGTGTTGTTTCAGCTGATTTCTTTCTCTAATGAAGTATGGTATAATTTGTCAGCATATCATTAAGATGAATGGAGACCTAAGATTTTACCTGACTTAATTTAATAGATTTCACCTTTATGAAAGAAAAGGACTTTCTCAAAAGGCTAATATTGTTTACAAATTAATGACTTCAATTAACTATAGGTTTTGCTGTATAATAAGTGCAATTTCAAAAACCTACTTTAAAAATATAAAAATTTTAGTATTTTATGACTAGCTCTTCCTTCTTAGTAACGTGTCTCATTCTATTATGGGTAAGACTGAATTTCATGTGTAGAGACTATTGAAGGAAGCTATATCTTTTGGAAGCTCAGTAGTACAACATCTAATGATTAGTTGATGTTTTCCATTGTCAGACATCTAGTTCCTTACCTTGCTGAAATTTAACCATTGGCTGACATTTTTCATGCTAAGTGCCTGTTCTGGCATGAGTTTCCAAGACAGAAGCAAGGACAAAATTCATCCCCCTTTTTCCATGTTTTAAACCTTCTTTAATTAAGATTCTGAATCTGAATTTAGCCAAACTGTAGACATTGCAAACTTAACATTGTATGCATGTTCAGCGGCTGTTTATTGTATTCAGTTAACTGTTGCAGTCCCAAGAAAGTCAGCCCCAGACTGGGCATGCCCCACACCAGAGCTGACTAGAATTTTGCTTGGAGTGGCAGTACTTTGTTTCCCAGGGATTTCCATAATTTTGGTGAAAGAAGCTGCTGTGTGCAGTATGTTTAACCCTGCTTAGCCCTGGCCTGCTGCAGGGGCTGGGCTGCCTGATTACTGCAGGGTGAAGAATGAGGCTGAGATGTGGTAGTATGTAGCAGAGACTGGGGAAGGAGCATACCTGGAGAAAATACTAGACAAAAGACTTAAAGGAAGGCTGCTGATGGAAAAGAGATCTTGGGATTATGTAGAAGATGAAATAAAATTTTGACATGGAGAATGTAGGGAAGGAATGCATCACCTTTTACTGTCTTGCTTGTTGGTTTTTGGGGGGAGGGGGGGTTGGCTGGTTTTTCTCTTAGTCCATTCAGAAGCTTCAAGGACTTAAAGCTTGAGAATCTTAAAATTTCTGGGTTGCTGTTTTAGCTGGAATGCTGAATACCTTTCTACCAGATTTATGGCTGGTAGAAATTACATAGTGATCAATTCCATGGGTTGTCTTAAATGTGTCTATTTGTGAAATTTTGCCAATTCATGATAGCCTTTGTATTTCTTGACTTTTGGGACTGCTTACAGAAAAACAGTAAACTAGATTTGATGATTTTACTTTTCAGAAGTGTTAGTCAATGTGACTTTTGATTCTGACTGGTACAACTGCATATGCTTTTCATATTAACATAATACTGAGTGCTCTTTTAAATTAAATAATCTCAGGTTTGATTTGGTTTGATTAAATCAGCTGCTCAAATGTAAGTTAGAAAAGTTATTGTTAAAGTTTTTAAAACAAATATTGTTTATCTTTCTGATGTTTCCAATGGGTGTATCTACTTAGGAAATTTGGCCCTTTCAAAACCAAGTTGTATTTAAAACTTTACTAGGCTACACTCTACAAATATTCATTTTTATAGTAGTCTGTCTACAGTAAAATTTTGAACATATTTTCTCATCCACTTTTTTTGTAACTTGGAGGTTCTTGCCGTTTTCTTCCCTTAAATCAGAATAGTCTCAAGGGGAAAGTTGTCCTGGTTTTTAATTTCATCAGCACTGATACTTTCTCTCAATGCATTGAAAGCTGTGTTACCAGAAAGATATGGGCATTTATTAATTTAAAGTTAAGGTTACTTATTATTTGTAATTAAAAAAGATCATATGAAGATGGTTGTGAACTAAATTCATATTAACCCTCCTGGCATTCCCAGTTATCCAGGCATCGCTTACAGGACTAGGACCTCATGGGGCTTTATGGTGACTGATCAAGTGAAAAAGGGAGAGAAAGTTAGGTGCAACAATTTGGTCTAGCTGTGTAGTAGTGATACCTGTGCATTTTGGTATTAATCACAGCTTGAACTAGTAAGAATTTTAAGGTACAAGTTTGTTTGACTGGAAAGACATAAAATTAAACTTTGCTTTTGTGGTGATACTCAAAGGTTATTTTTTTCTGAACCTCAAAATAATTTTTAATCATCTTAAAAAAAACCCAAAACAAAACAAAAAAAAAAACCCTGAAGAATCCAAACTGTGTTATCCAGAACACTCTTTTTGTAAGTTTAGATATGTTGGAGTCTTAATAGGCTGAGTGGAATAATAATTTCCATTCTTTTAAATACAACACTCCTGTTGATCCATCACATCCAAAATTACACGTCTTATTTTGTAATAGTGTTCCATTACTGTTATTGGGCAGCTATATTAGTGTTATTACTCTTATATTCTTGGCCTACTTGGAACTTTTTTTTAATCCTATAGCGTAATCACTGATCAGGTATTTTGCTGGAGCATTCAGTTATACAAGAGTGAAGTTTAAAATATCTTGCTGATGTTTCAGAGTAGATATTCCAGGAACTTGAACAGGCAATTCACTGCTCTTGAAAATATTTTTTTTCCTAACTGTATTTTTATGCATATGATAGGACTTTGAAAGTGTTACTATGCAACAAGAAGAAATCTATTTTAAATACTAAAATTGGTGCTCATTGTCTACCAAAAATACACTAGGATAGCAAGGGTTGTTATGGCATTCTGCCTGTCTCGTCTGGTCTTTTTAACTGATACTTGTATCTCATGATACAGCTCTTGCAACCATAGTGATTAATTAAGGAGAAAAATAAAGCAACCAACAAACAAATCACAAAAAAATTCCCAGGCAAAAATCACGTATGTGGCTCAAGACCTTCAGCCTTTCTTAGTGTGGCTAACCTGGAGGGAGGGTCATGCTCGGAGATAAAATTTGTAGGTAGTATCTTGAGCTTCTTCATACAAGACTCCACTACTTTCTTTACCTTCCATTTTAGGTTAGAGATGTCCATCAGGTCTCTGGAAGTTTTGGGGATTTTTGTAATAGGGATTGTGAGAGTATCAAAGATAAAACCTAAGATGTGAATGTCTGTTTTCTGCCTAGATATTAATGGATCATCAGAATTTATCAGAACACGTGCTTTGCATGGTTTTGTATTTGATTGAGCTGGGGTTGGAAAATTCTCCAGAACAAGAGCCAGATGAAGAGGTAAGAATAACAAAAAATACCATATTTTTCATTAAAATATAAAAATATTGTCTAATGGTTCAATATTCTTTAAAAATAGATTTTTATTAAGATTATAATTTTACCTTAGGAATTGGAATGAAACATCTTTGTTTACTTAAGAAAATTACATACTGTTGTGGAGTATGGTATCTTGTTATGTTTTTCAGCAGTTCTATGTATATAACCTGACAATACAGATTGCTTAGATCTTTATTACTCTTTAAATTAGTACTTGAAATTGGGTACAAAAAAAAAAATTAAAATGATTGAATCTAAAACTCGCTTAAAATGCTAGATTTTCAACTGAAACCTTTGTCACTGAGCATTTTATGGCTACAGCTCTGTATCTTCTAAAATATGTGAATTAGCAAAAGTTTTAACTGTGCTTTTGATGAGAATTTGAATATAAAGAGCCATTATTTTAATTAATCCAGGCTCCCTTATGATATATAACTTTAATAGTTTTTCCTGCTGTTTAACATTGCTTATATGACTAAGGATCTGCCGCTTTTTTTCAGAGATTGACTTTTGTATAGTTCAGATTTTCTATGTTAATCTTAGGTGGTACAGCTCTGGATTACTCTTGAGTAGTTCCTTTTACTTCTGCTGGACAGCACTCATGGCTGTATTTGATTACATTCAAATCAAATGTGTAGATTTATGTATTTGTCAGACCTGTAGTCCTCACAGTATTTTTAAGAGGTGTATTTGCTTTAGTGTTCATGCATACTGTTGAATATACTGTTCCTATCTCATGGAGAGATGATGGTCTTTGTAATACAGTTGTAAAAGCAACATGAATTGTTGTAACACATAAGAGAAAGTACACTCATTTTTTTTATTATTATTTTAGGAATCTGTAGGTGGACAAGAGCGTTGCCATGATAGTTGGTTTCCAGGTAGTAACTTAGTTTCTAACATGCGTCACTTCATTAACTATGTCCGAGTAAGAGTACCAGAAACTGCTCCAGAGGTGAAGAGGGAACCACCTGCAAGTACGAGTTCTGATGGTTTAGCTTCATCACAAGTAAGTACATACAAATACTGTTCCTTTTCATAGATTAGTTTAAATTCTTGTCTGTTTTGGCTTTTTTTGTTAGGATTATTTTTTACTGTTTTTATGAATTTCTTAGGATTTTTTTTTCTCCAGTAATCTTTCCTAAATGTACTGACAATAGAAATAGATATTATTTCAAATGATACCTCATCATGTATTTAATGCCTTTTTTTTGTCCTCAATCTACCAGAGTTCAAGGCGGAAGAGCCTCCAGCGAGAGGTAGATCTGTGTGCAGTTTGTTTTCCTAAGCGATTAACTAGCAACATGGCTTTAATTGTGCTCACCTTAACATTCAGTGAAATCTTCTCATTTTCCTGAATTTCCTTTTAATTCATATTGCCAGGATTCATGCTCTTTTCATATTCTTGATTGTAATCTTAGGTAGCAGACATTTGAGCAATGAAATGCTCTTACATTTTTAATACATATTTTGAAATAAAAGCTTTCTATCAAATATAAAATGCCTTTGATAGCTTACTGCTTGAGCTTTGTGTTTAGGCCTGTTTTGTCTTGCTGAGATATTACTAACATTTAATAATGTAGAGTAGTCTTAGCTTTCTGGAATCTAGGTATGTTTGAATCATACATTGAAAGTTCATTTGAAATTATTAATGGCAAGTTTATTGGGGTTTTTGGGTGGTTTTTTGTTTTTTGGGTGGGTTTTTTTGTGAAAACAATATGTAAATGATGGGACCCTGAAAGATTTATGGCTGGTAAATAATCTAATTGCTGTGTCAGGATTGCTTTTGTTTACAGTACTACAGATTACTGTATGCCAAATGTAGTGAAATACAATGGATATTTCTTTTGCATATTAAGTTTTAGAAAAATAGATCAAATTCGAAGTAGGTAGGTGAGGTGAAATAGATTAAAACATCAAGAAGGTAGGTGAGATGACTGTCAGAATCCCATTTTTATATTTATTCTTTGAAGTATTCAGTATCTCTTGGCTGCTCAGCCTTCTGAGAAGGCGAGGATAAGATGTTAGTGTGTTCTGAATTTCATGTTCAAAATATTTGGGAAACATCTTTCTACTATGGATTCAGTATATGCAAGTTGCTTCCATGTATCCTTAATTTGGGACTGAAAGCAAGGATAGCATAGAATAGAAACTTCTGAATGGGCTCTGTCATTACTGTACTCATATGCTCGTGTGACCTGAATAGCAAGCTCTCCTTGCAAATATGGTATGTGGCTTCTGAATCTAATAAATCCTCGCAAAATGGACAATGCCCATGGGGATATGTGGGCTCACCTGTGTTCACCTGTGTGGAATTATGCGTTACATTGTGCAGAAGTGCTCAGTAGACTTTTATAAAGACGTTTAAAAGACATAAAGATAGTGAAATTATGAACATTCTAGAAAAAGCAAGGAAATACTACTTGGAGAACAAAATTCTAAGTTTGACTAGAGCAAAGCCAGTTGTTATTTGTTCAGATATGGATGATATTTTCGTTTTGTACTTGGCTTTTTATGCAGCTGTGTATAACAAATTTGTGCAAAAATATGACATGCAAGCTTATAGTATTTTGCTGTACCAAATTTCAATATGTTTTGGAAGGGGAGAGGAAACATAAAATGTTTCATGCTTTTCTTCCTAGCTTAAAATATTTTCTATAGTTTTATAAGTGTATGTTGTTTGTACTTGTATTTTTGAAAATTAAGCATTGTAATTTTTTTTTTTTTTTCCCCCAAGAACTCTGGGACAGCTCAAGTGTTCAGTTTGGTTGCAGAACGTAGAAAGAAATTTCAGGAGATCATCAATCGGAACACCAGTGAGGCAACTCAGGTGGTTCGGCCCAAAACTTCAATGAAATGGTCAGCACCTGGTGCAACTCCACAGCTAACCACAGCCATTCTGGAAGTCAAAGAAAGCATACTGTCCTTGCTGATTAAATTGCATCATAAACTCTCAGGAAAACAAAACTCTTACTATCCTCCGTGGTTGGATGATGTGGATGTTTTAATCCACCCAGAAGTTCCAAGGTACTCTCACGGTGATGGAATGACGGCAGTAGAAAGAATTCTATTGAAAGCTGCTGTACAGAGCAGATTGAATAAACGTATAATTGAAGAGATATGCAGAAAGGTAACACCTCCTGTACCGCCAAAAAAGATTAGTTCTGCAGAGAAGAAAACTTTGGATAAAGAAGAAAGGTAACATTAATAATAAAGTAAAGGGGCAGTAGAAGGGCAGTGTGTGTTTGTGCATCTGTTGATTGGTCTGTCTCTAGGTCTGTGCAAGAATTACTTATTAAAAGAATACGTCTTAATTCTACTCTTCTTTATCCATTTTGAATATACATGATTTACATGGGTACTGAGGAAGAACCTGGACATTGCTAATGTAGATCTTTAATTTAGAAGACTTCCATAATGATTTTATGTGATATCCATGCTCACCCTTGATGTTGCTGTATATACCACTCATATAAGATTATGTTAAGTTTTGCCACTTAACCTCAAGATGAGTTGGAAGTTGGGGTTTTTTTTGGTTTTATTGTCTGTTCATTCACATGCACACATCTTTACTATATGCGGGTTTGGTAATTCTGCCTTTTTTGCTTGTCCGACAGATTAAATTTTAAAATTCTGGGTTAATTTTTTTATAGTTTTAAATTTTTTAAAAATTATATTCATATTTTCTTATAATGTGGCCTGAAAACCTGCATGCCAGATGTCTGTCTTTGGCTGAAATTTTTTTGGGGATAGTTTTGAGATTGAAGTTGGGGCATCATGAGTCCTGAGAGCACCCAGAATACTAGCACTATTGAAACTGAATGCAGAGAGCCTGCTTCTCTTCTGCTTTCGGCAAATGTTGTGTTGGCGTGTGAGTCCTATGGAAGGGGAATCATCCAATTCAAATGCCTAGAGGACAGCAACTAGAGCTGAGAAGTAGACGTGGAAACTAGGACTGGCAGGGGTAGAGTAGAAGACTGGGACTGGAAGGAGAAAACTTCTGGTTGACGTAACAGCAAAGGGAAGATACCAGGTCAAGTGATTAGTTGATGTGGGAAGACTCAAACTGGCAAGTTGGGGCTATTAGGGAAGAACTGGATTGTCAGGACAGAAATACTCAGAGGAGAACAGCAAATGCAAGAACCAGTTTTTAGTGAAGATCTCAATGTGGGAGAATGGGGTCTTGAGAGTTGACAGGAGAAAGTGGAACAGGAATGCAAATGCCTGGAGGGCACAAGTAAGACAGAGATTGGCATTTGGGGGAAGAACTGGCTGGAGTGGGGCAGTGGGAAGAGACTGGTAACTGGTTAGTGCAGAAGACTGAAACATGGCATTTGAAGCAAGAGGATGGTAGATAGTGTTAGAAGATTGGGACATTGAGAGTGGGAGGTTGGGTCGGAGTACTTACATTAACTGAAGTAGAGACAGGGCACAGAGTGCTTGAGTGCTTGTCCATGCAGTATTTTGATGTATTAATAGTTTATGTAACCAGACTATATGATTATGGTTTTAGGAACTTGGGTAGAAACATGCAGCCATCTGACTCAATTGGTTTCTGGATTACCTTTATGTATCCTGCTGGTTTTATTTGTTTGAAAAGAAATTTGTCATTAAATTCTCTCTGATATGTTGAAGACCTACGCTGTACTTGAAAATTAAAGATTAAAAAATTTAAAAATAGGTTTAGTATTTTTGTTACATGCTTTACAAAGTAAATTTTTTTTTTCTTGCAAGTGATTAGTTAATGGTTCATTTTTCAACATCCCTTGTAATAGTTCAGTAAATGAGAGAAATAGTTGAGGTTTAGCATGTAAAATTGTCTTTCAGAAAATGCCAGGCTAAGTGGCTGCTTTAGATAAAACACAGCTACATCTTGGACATCTACTTGTTAGTGGTACTCAGTCGTGCTAGATTTGTGTACAGGAGAAGCACAGGAGTCAATGAATCGAGTAACTTTTCATGTAGTAAAGGGGAAGATCATTCCTTTCCCCCTATAAAGGATGTGATACTTTCAAAGTTCTGGGGCTAACATAATGATGAAAATAAATATTTCCAGTTCTTTGTTGTTCTGAGTCACTATTTGCTTCCCCCCAAGTCCATAATGGCATTGGGGACCCATGGACAGTGTGATAACTGAAATTACTGATCTCATAGACTGACAGCTGTAAGGCTGCAATTTTTACTTTTTTTTGATTGTTTTGTTTTTCTCCCCCC